CTTGAGAAAGATTCACAAAAGGGAAAAAATAACCACGAATTTCATAATAGATTTAATGTAGAGCTTGGGCAGGATACAAGTTCCTGTGAAAACTGTAAAACGGTTCCCACCGACAATTGCTGTAGTGAGTAATAGCAGGTGGAGGGCGAAATGTCTTTGGTTGGACTGCAAATAAAAAGTGAGGCGGCCGGGTGTCCTTGGTGGACCTGCCAGAGAGAGGCACCCGGGGCTTGTCAGGGGAGCAGTGATAACCAGAGAAGGAAATGTGCTTTCCTTCAGACACTTCACATGGTAACTACTACTAAGGACTGCCCCAAGATGGAGCCTTTAAAGTTTTGGGATCTTCATAAAGAAACGGCAAGTAAATTCATACACACAAAGTTATCTAATAGGTGAGTAATCCCCAGGCAAAGAAAAATGTTTCAGTAGTCTGCAGCTTGCTACCACGCACCCAGATATATGAATGGAGTTTTGGTGACTTTGACTTTACTCCTTGACCTTTGAGTACAGACTTCTGTTACAGAGAGATCATTTACACTAATGATCGGTTTCTATAGCCCTCAATTTGTCCTTCTGAAATTAAAAGGTTGTTCCATGCATACTTTATCTTTCAGTTGCACTTAAATAATATCCTTAGTATCAAACGAAAACCAAGTGTTAAATTGTATCACTGTTGTGATGCAGGTCTCTGTTCCACACTGTTTCTAGAGCGTATCTTCAGTGGCGGGGTCTTTCATCTGCTTTTTGGTGGGAAATGCATGACCAAAGATGTTTAGTGTTTATCTAGCAACAAGAGAGACGTCCTTTTGCTCAGTCAGCTGTGACCTGGGGCACTGTAACTGGTCACTGGAGTTTCCTCTGGTGCAGCTGGGTATGCTTGTTATAAATTTGTATGTAATAAATAAAAAATTTCCCTGTGTTAAAGACTGGAAATAAAAGTGCCTAGACCACAGATTCATCTTCTGTCCCACACAAAGACACAGCAAGAATGGCCAGTTAGAAGACATGATGCAGTAAGCAATTAAGAAATGTCAGCAAAATTTCCTTTAACAGCAATTGTGGTTTTATACTTCCCAAGCACGTGGTGTGGGACACACAGCCCAGCACATGGGAAATTTCTCCCCTGTTACACTGTACAGCAGTGGGTGGGCCAGGTAACAATATGCCTTTTAAAGCTGTCCAACTTTCCCCTACTTTGTGACTTGGCAAAAATTCAACCAGTTAAGATGAAATGTTCTAGATGCCCAGATGTCTACCTCAAACTATTTTTCCCCTTAATTACTTCTATAATGATTCATTGTTTCCAAGAAGAAAGACAGGGTAAAATAACATAATCATAAAAACATACTGAGAATTTGTTTTTAAAGGTCTTGTACTCCAGCTGGAGTGCGAAAATTTGATGAGGAAGAAGAGACAACCTTTTTTCAGTGCTCTGGGTTTGCTAGCTAGCCTTGTGAAAACCTACATGAACTAAACCAAATTACATAACTGCAGGGAGTATTCACATGCTCAGCACAGGTTTACTGGAATACAGTGAACATCCACCTGCCCCAAACATGTGCCAGACTGCATCTGGACAGAAGCTTCCCTTCCAAACTTTAAGACAAAATTTAAAACTCCATCCCGCAACATTAAAATTTAATTATATCAAATAAAATTTAATTGAGTTGTGAGAATGTGCTTTCACTTCCCCATGTGCGTGTGGAGGGGAAGTCAGCCTTCCTATGTGAAGTGCAGGAGAGAGGGAAAAGGTTCTGAGTGTTAAGAGTAAGAAATTTGGCAGAAAATAAAACCTCTTGCATTCCAGCTAGTCTCCAGAGATCAGAGGGGCTGTGTGCAGCTGGGCTTATTCTGATTGTAACCAAACTGGCATTACACGTCTGGTCATGTTCAATGGGAACTACTGAGCACAGATTCACAACTAATGTGATTTATTGAAGCAACAGAATATAATAATAATATAATATAATAATAATATAATATAATATAATATAATATAATATAATATAATATAATATAATATAATATAATATAATATAATTAATATAATATAATATAATCAGAATATATATGCACTAGCTGGGATAGAGCTCTAATGATAACGTTGTGTTAACTTGGGTAATAATAATAGCAGGTAGACCCTTACCAAGACAGCATCTCCACTTGGAAGGAGGGAGAGGAGAGTAGCCTGACAACTGTCTCTAAGGTCTTTTAGAGTCTTTTTCCTAACAAGTTTACCCTCCTCACATACAGTGCAATCTGATTCCCCTCCTTCTACATTACCTATAGCAGGGTCTAAGCAGAGAGTTGAGTAATAGTAATTTATGTGGTAGCAGGTACTTCATTAAGCTTATTAGCATATGCAGGTATGAACATTTTAATATTTAAATTACTTTTAATCAGGAAGACATTTATTTTTTGGCCACACTGTCCTTCAAAGTTCCAGTCCTACCACTTCTGTTCTGCTCCATGCCTAAGTCAAACCTGGACCATCTTATATCCACAGGACCTTTTCCTTTAGACAACTCAATCTTACTTGACCATGCAGATCTATGCAAAGACAATGCAGAGGGTGCACACTGTAGGCTGTAGATAGTAAACATTAGGTTTTGCCTGGCTCCTTGGTCATTATTCTGTACCAATGAAGGAACTGAAGAAAGGGACAGCTGTGTGAGGAAAAGCACCTTGCAGGTGGCTGGGAAGTGAAGGGACTGAGGTCAGACTCTGGTTACAGACATTGGCCACAGGAATGCGGGAGGCCAAAAGGAGAAAGAAGCCTGTTTGCATATCTCAGGAAAGTAAACATGAAGGGAAAGCATGGTGAAAGCTGCTGATTATTGCCTGGGAAAGTGGGGAAAGATGGGACTGGGTGGACAAAGGAAATGAGTTATAGGTGAGAGGAAAAGGTAGGAGGGTGAGTGAGTCTGACGCCACAATCACAGTGAATCAGAGACACTAATTACTAGAAAAGAGGCTGGAGCAATGAACTCCCAGAGGAATGAGAGGAGGCTGCAAATGGCTGGCCCGAAACACATGGAGGTACAAGCAGAGGCTTGGCCAACAGCCTCCAGAACCTGTGGTGGGATGGGACAATGGCAGTCCCCTATCCCTGTTGTTGCCCGATCCGAAGAAAACACAAACAACCGAAGTCGTTTATGCGGTGCTTTATTGAGGGCCCGGGAGCCTGTGGACTAGCGTCCAAAGACAGAGCCCCCTTTCACAGAAAAATCACAGGGTTTTTATATGTTTTCTACACGATTTCTTCATCATCACAATTTCTTACTTCTCTTTCACTACTTGGTACGATTATCTCTCTGACATTTAAGTTTTGCCAAAAGGTACATTCCTAGATTATCTCCTAGTTACACTGCTTACATTGCAATATCTGCTATATAGTTCATCTGCAGGTCACATGTGGCCTACCAAGCCTTAGCATAACTACTACTAATGTCAACTAATGCTAACTATTAACGTTTGTTACTATCTTAATAATACAGTTTATTGAACCAAATGGCAACACTGTGGTCAGCAAATGGCTTTGAATCCATGGCACAGCACCTAGCTGTGTCCTGGATCACCGAAGTTCACATTGCAGGAGACTGCGCCAATGTCACTGGAACTCATCTCATGTGTGTGGGGTCCCTAAAGAAGCTTTTCTGTGCAGGGGCTGAGCACATGGATAGCTTCTCTTCCCAGGGCACTCCAGACTGGCAGCCACTGGCTGGAAACCTTTTTGGCTTAATATTTAACAAGCACCCCCACAATGTTAAAGGCAAACGTGTACCCACTATATGGATGCACACCGTCTGTAAAATCCATGTCCGAACTTATTGCGTCCACTGAAGAGCTTTTCTGGAAATTTATACATTTAGGAAAATATCTATTTTAACAAGGAACATGCGTATCTAGAACCCAGCACCGTCTTTTGAAAGTCTGTCATCAGAACCAGGGACCAGTTTTAAAACACCGGTTTAAACCGCTCCCGCCGGCTCCCACAGCCCCCGAGCGAAATGGCGGCGCCGCCGAGCGCCGCGGTTACGTGATGGCGGCGCGCCCGCCCTCGGGAGCGCGCCTGGGCGGAGGCTCCTGCCCCGGCCTGGCATAGCCGCGGCGTTGGCAGTGCGGGGCCGCGGCGGCTCTGCGCCCGCGCCGGGATGAGGGAGCACGAAGGAGCAGGGCTGTCGCTGCCCGCCGCTGCCCGCCGCGCTCAGTGCGGGGCGCGCAGGGATCGTGCGGAGCCGCCTCGCTTCACTGGGCACTCGAGCGCCCCCCGCCTTGCGATTGAAACCTCAGTTCAGTTCGTTTTCCCCCAGAAACAGCGGGAGCGCAGCGGCAGCCCCCGGGCAGTCACTGGCCTCTGGACGCTGTGTAAGGGTCGGCGCGGCGTCCAGCGCCTCGCAAAGCCAGCAGGGAGACTGGAGGGAGCTGTGTCTCACCACGGGCAGAGCGGGAGTAGAAATGCCACGGGGAAAGCCATGCTTTTGCCGTCTCAGGGCTGTGAGCAAAGCCAGAGCTCAACGCTGAGAGTGGAGTGAGGGGACGGAGTTGGTGGCCCCGCCACTTTGGCAGGCCCGTTTTGCCGTGGAGTGTGCCCGTGGCCGTGCGAGCGTGTGCGAGGCGAGCGCGCCGCGACCCGCTGGAGGATGAGCCGCGGTGTGGGGTGTGATTCTGGGGACCGTGACTCCTTCTCTCCCGCTTATTGCGGTAAAACATGCTGAGGAGACCTGTGGCGGTGTGAAGCAAAAACTATGGCACAGCTGATCGGAAGGCGAAGCCTGGCTTGTTTTCTGCTTTTGTTTACTGGCTGTCATGACTTACAAGGTGGAAACGCGAACAGCCAGCCCTGCTTCTCGGGACACAGGAATGTGGTGAAGATGCCTCCGAGAGGCAGAGACCGGGCTTTATCCTCAGAAGCGTCCTTTTGCCTGTGGGCTCCGTTCATTCACTAAACGCAAGGGCTGGGCAAGCTGTGTGACAGTGAGAAAGGCGGGAACTTCGCCATGGGGTACGACAGAAGCTGGGTGCTGATGAATGAAAGCGACCATGGTCCGTCGCCGGCGGTCAGCAGAGCTCTGGAGATGGGGAACGCCTCGGCCGCGCGGATGGTGTGGCAGGGCGGGAATGCCAGCGAGGCGGGCGCCGCGGAGAGCGAGGAGCACGGTGAGGAGCAGAGCTACCGGCACTTCACCACCACCGTGCAGGTTGTCATCTTCGTGGGCTCTCTGCTGGGTGAGTGAGAGTTGCTGGAGTTTTTTGTTGATTTTTTTTTTTTTAGTGTTTAATTTTTTTTTTAATCCTTGCAGCCAGGGACTGCAGACCAAAAGGTAACTGGCATTATTGTCTGCCTTCGTGACTCTTAGTGCATTTCTGGTCCTCAGCTGTTTGATTTCAAGTTCCTTGTATAAAAGCTCTTTCTATAAAATGTATTTGTCACGGATGAGATGATATATATATATATCATATAGATATGATAATATCATATCTATATGATATATGATCATAGATATATATATCAATATATGTATGTATTACTTAGTAAGCTTTTCTGTCAGAATTTAAACGGGCAGAAATTAAATGGGTTGATGACATGCTTATTTTCAGCTGCAATGGGATCTGTTCTCTTTAACGTAAAAAGGGTGTGTTTCAAACAAGTTTTGCTGAATTTTTGTTTCATTTTGCAGTAATTTGGTGTCTGTGTCCCGCAGATTTTAAATAAATCCTTTGAAAGTACATTATACTGTAAATATGTATAACCATGTGCAATCTCGCCTACTCTATACTCTTACAGTAGGAATCATAGTTTAGATATGTAGTAGTAAGCTATTGCTATATAATTTTACTGATTTTACTGTGTGCATTTGCTTTCTTGATGCTTATAGTTTTGTTAGGAATATGTGTGCATTTCTTAGGGAAAAAAAAAGAAGCCTTATGGTAAGTCAAGTTATCACTATTTGGGAGATAAGTAAGCTGAGTTTCAGTAAAATGTCACCACTATCTCAATCATTCAAAGCTTTACACACAGGGTTTGACTGAGAGAACATCCACCTTTCATAAGGGAGTTCAGCAGGAATTTGTTGATGGGAATTTGCTGATGGTCATTGGCTTATTTTATCGAGGTTTTGTTTTGGATTTTCCTGATCTTGAGTAATGTTAAAACCCATTTTTCTGATCATGGTAACAAATTCTTATATCTATCTCCTTTTGGTAATATTTAATGTCACTTAAATAATTCTTAAGAAGATGATGGAACAGTCATGGAACAGTGTTGAGTCCCAGTCAACAGTGGACTTACTGGTTATTTCTGTAAATCACTGAGTCTTTTGGCATCAATTATTCCTCTTTTCAGTTGGGATAATCCTCACGGTTCTTGCTTTTTTTCTATTTAGCACATAGTGTGGGGAAAGGATACTATTAGGATAGGTACTCTTTTTTTTTTGTATGTGGCATTGTAGCTGTCACAAAACAATAGCCAGCAGTGTCCTAAAATAACAAGACTAGATGAGAAAACTCAGAATTTTAATTCTTTATTATTTGGGTTTTGAACCTTTAAGAGAATAAATTTGAGTCATATGTCCCAATTTAGTTTCATGAGCATGGATCCTCCAAATTTATGTGAAGATGAAAACAGACATTATCATATAATCATTCTTTCAGCACCTAGGAGTTTTTAGAAACCAGCCAACCAACCAAAAAATACCATAGATACAAAATTTTGAAAACTAATGTAAGGTGTGGTTTGATACTCCCGTAATTGGTTTCAAGAGGTGGACCTTACATTGTGAGAAAACATTACATGTCACAAGGGGTTTATTTGCCAATTGTATGGCTGAGAGGCTGATGAAACTTCCAGATCAACAACTTTTCCAGGCCTAATAAAGAGCTAAACAGGGGAGGAAATAATATGTTTTTTTAAATGATGAAAATGCACTATCCAATGACAAATGTTAGCAGTGGGCCTCATGTATTTACAGTGATGGAAACCAGTTTTAAGTATGGTTTTGAAACTGCCTTTGCTTATAGTCTCCCTGTGTCCCTGAAATGCTAATTTAAAACATTTATGATATGTACTGTCATAACGGCTGAAAACTTTGGAGTCTTAAAAATGTTTTCTACCAACCTAATGAATGTACTACCATTTCTTCTTTGCTGAATGGAAAGAAAGCTACGTCTCCAGAAGGTCGCAGGGCTTTGGTGCCTGTGTGCTCAACTCTCATATATGCCAGACGTTTTGCATGTTCAAATGCTGGACAGTATCTCTGCATCAGCAAGGCATAACAACTGGATATTTACCTCACACTTAATGCTTGCACAAATGCTGTTAATTAAGTTGTCATTTTTTTCTCTGCCATGGTCCTTAGAGTGTGAGTGGTGTCTTGCTGTTTTCTCCATCAGGTGAGCCCCTTGGTTAAACTGCAGAATAGTGGTTCTTTGTTCTGGTGAGTCCCAGGTTCCTCTGTGCAGAGGGGCAGCCCTTCAGTAGGTGGATAAGACTATCCTCCCTAAAGACTGAGGTGGGGGTCACACCCCTCAGGGGTAGGATGTGTGGGTTTGAATCCTTTCTGGTTTGGGTGGATGTGCAACTTGTGCATTTCACATCATCAGTGTGCACCCAAGGCACTTTGCTATTGATAAAATAGCATTACCCTTTCAGAGGAAGAAATTATTTTTAGTTTCAGTTTGAAATGGAACAAACCTATATGACTCAGTCTTGATAATGATTACAGGGGTCTGACATTAGCAGGAGTCTACAGCATGGAGAGGTCCAGGTCCTGCAAGGGGGAAGAATCACAGTTGGCGTTGTGAATTTTATTTACCTGCTGCACAGAAGAATGTTGTCAGCTATGAGAGCTGCTAGATGAGCAGCTGTATGCATGTTATAGTTTTATTTTCTCCCATTTAAGACCTCTGTTTGAGACCTGTGGGAAGACTTGGAACACTAGGATTAATTCTTGTGTTAGTTCTGACTGTGACATGACAAAACAGTGCTGAGTGTTTCATTATACCTGCTGAAGGCAAGGAAGAGTCAAACTTTTTTTTTCCCCTTGTTTTAAGCTTGGGATGACATAAGACACCTTTTCCAAGTGAGTAAATTTTTAATAGCTTTCTTTTTATCAAAAAAGTTCTTAAGATCAGTTTTGTGGTGAATATAGGAGTACAGCAACACTGATCTTGCCATTAGAAGGAATCAGTCTGCAGAGACGAATTATTACTTTAGGTTTGAAAGAAGAAAGAGAGTGTATTACTTCTGAGTTTTGGTGGGGAGAGGTCACCAGAGGTGGCTGCAGCTGTGTTCAGTTGAGTGTGAGCAGTGGGATGAGATCCTGGAGATGAAAAGGGTCTCCAAAGAGCTCTTGGAACCAGTATGCACAGTGAGCTTAGTTTGAAAGGGAGATAAAAAGGATGGGAGAAATGCATGGATTAACTTAGTGGCCAATTAGCTGAAATAAAGTTTGGCAAAGCAAAAAGTGATTGAAAATCAAGTCTAAAAAGAGGCATCAGACAAATGGTGATATGAGTGGTGGTTGCATGTAATACTAACTGCATAGTAATAACATATTGCAGTATCATAACACTGTAGTAATAATTTTCCCCTGCAGTTTTGTATGGGTGGTTCTAAGCCCCAGGAATCATGGACTGTGCTGCAGTGAAGCTCAGTTCAGGATGCACCTTGGTAAAGTCTGCCTGGAATAGATGTTATGCTTTTATTTCTTATGTGTGTTCAGTTGAACTGCTAAGCAATTCTCTTTGGAATAAAAATTGAGTTTGAGGAAAGGGTGAAGAAGCGGGGTTGTGAGAGTGCTGGGGCCCCTGTTGCCATGGAGACCTTGTCTGGTGTTGGCCGAGGGGCCCTTCAGGTAGCACTGCTGCTGCCTTTTAAAAGAGAGGCTTTGGTAAAACAGCCCTTTACCTAGCCTGGAAGTGTGAGATGCAGTGATTTATACCCAAAATGCACGTGCCCAATACTGTGGGGATACTGTGCGCTGAAGAGTTCCTCAGACATGTGTTGGGTGGGTTAACCAATGTCTCTAAAGGTCATGTGTGTCAAGGATGTTAAACTTATCCCCACTGATCCTAGAATCACAGAATATGCTGAGTTGGAAAGAACTCACAAGGATCATTGAGTCTGACTCCTAGTCCTACACACGACAGCCCCAAGAACTACACCATGTGCGCGAGAGTATTGTCCAAATGCTTCTTGTCCTCTGCTACTCACTTCTCTGGGGAGCCTGTTCCAGTGCCCAGCCACCCTCTGGATGAAAAACCTTTTCCTGATATCCAGCCTACGCCTTCCCTGACACAGCTTCAGGCCGTTCCCTCAGATCCTGTCACTAGTGATCACAGAGAAGACATCAGTGCCTGCCCCTCTGCCTCCCCTTGTGAGGAAGTTGTAGACTGATACTATTTAGGGAGAAACTGATTCATACCAGTCATTTTACTGTGTGTACTCCCTTTGTGAACACTTTAATGAGAGCTATGAACCACAGCTCTTTAACTAAGTGACTGGATGTCATGTTTTGCTTTTTACTGTCAGTTACAGTTGCTGAAATGCCTGCTGGTATGTATCACTCCACTGTTTTGAACTAAAGTGAAAATCTGGATACAAGATTTTGTATTGATGTTATAGGCAGTAAGTATTTCAGGCATGAATGAACCCACACACTTAGCAAGAATTTTAAATAGTGTTAGTTCTGTTACAGATTTCATTTATTGGCTTGCTGTTAGGCAGGCGTCATGAGCTCTTAAATGAGGGGTTTATTCTATTCTGTTAATCTTTAATTAATTTCTTATTTGTGTGATGTTGGAAAAAGTAAGTTTGCCACTTAGGGGCATTTTTCAAGATCTAGGAAGTTGTATACATCTCCACAAAAGGTGCTGGCAGTGCTGCTGAATCCTGTAGGCCTGTATAGGTGTTCCTGCTGCAGCTTCATGTCCTCAGAATGAGCAATAGTAAGGCTGAGCATGTGTTCTCAAGAGGCAAACATGCATATTTATATAAAATATATAAGTATAAAATATATAAGTATACAGATATATAAGCCAATATGGATCACTCTGTAGCAGCTGATCTTAGACTCCCAGTCTACAGAGTAGCTGGCTTGGGATCCTCTTGTCTCCCAGTTCCCTCACACACAGACACACAGATGTAGATGTCTCTCTCCAGGAGCTGGGTTGGAACTCCTGGTCCTCTGCTGGACAATTTTCAGAGCCCCCTTGTCCCCTGTGGTTAC